ATGGTTGAAAAGAATTGTTGCTGGACAGAAAATATGCTAATTTGGTTGTTGACGAAGGCAAGTTATTAAAAAAATTGCCGTAATTCTGCTAAGTGGGAAGCAATGGCTTCGGCGGGGGAAATTAAGAGTAAGTTCTCACTTCCAAAGTAATTTTTCTTAGCTGCTTCTAAAACTGAGCTATTATCAGCAAAGTCAATAATGTGTCCGACTTTTTTGTCTATCGCTAAACGATTAACTCGGGAAATTTTTTGTCAAAATTCACTAACGCTTTGAATTTTTTTTCCAATATAAATATGACGGAGAACCGGCAGGTCAAAGCCAGTGGTTAGCTATTAACCACGACAGCGATGTTGGGTAAATTATTGTTCTTAAATTTACTAATCGTTTCTTGGTTATTTGGGGCTTCTGAAATTATTAAACAAGCAACTTCTTGGTATTTCTCTTCTTGGCAGAACAGTTCGTAAAATTGTTTAGCCTCTTTCTGGCTACTTAAAGTGACTAAGAACTTGGGATTAGATATTTTTTTGCTCAACTCTTCATAGTCTCTTTTTATTTTAACAATCATTTGTCTTAAATCATTAGTGGGGCGAAGACGATAGGGTTCATAGTACATGTTGTTGACAATTACCTGGTCGGCTTGGGCTTCTTTGGTAGAATAGCTGTGAAGAGGTTCAAGGGAAGAACCAAATTCAGCGTAGGTGGACTTCTCTTCAGTGCTAATAGGAGTTCCAGTTCAAGCAAAAAAACAACCTTCGGGAATAATTTGCCGCTTTATTCAAGCGTAACCGGGCTTCTCGGGCCGAATTTTCAAATTTTGTGAGCGATGAGCCTCATCAACAAAAACAAAAACACCATGAGAATTCCTAAATTCCTTTCCGCCTTTACTTAACCAATCCTGGAATTTTTGGGGACGAAACTTATGAAGAATGATGAATATAATTTTGCCCTGATTGGGTTTTTGTAAAATAGCTGTTAACTCGCGAACCTTAGCAACTGGAATAATGTTTTCAGGATTTAGCAGAGAGGGAAATTCCGTAAAAAATCCGTAAAGCTGCCGGTCTAATTCTTGGCGGTCAGTAATTATAAAAATTGTGCTTTGGGGATATTCAGACAAAATTTTTGCTGCTGAGAAAGCCATAGTTAAAGACTTTCCGGAACCAGTAGTATGTCAAATCACCCCTCCTTTTTGTTTTTTCTCTTTGATTGAAGTTAAAATCTTCTCGGAGCAAGAATATTGATAATAACGAGCCAAAATTTTTCTTTCTTCTGCTCGCCGGAAAGTTGTGTAGTTATTAAGAAAATTGATTAAATTTTCTGGTGAAAATAATTCTTGAACACTTGGTCTTCATACTAAATAATTGGTAATTTCATCAGTGATTACTCCCACAAAACCACTGGTGGGTGTTCGTAAAACACTAAAAAAATTATATTTGTAAAGTTGGGGTAAATATTTCTGGTAATCTGTGATTGTTTGAAAAACCTTTTGTTTGTTTTCCCGAACAACCAGGACAACTAATGGTAAATAATTGACAAACAAGACTAAATCGAGAGAGAAAGTGTGCTGCCGATTAGGAGATTGTAGGGGAAAGTCAACTAAGTAAGTAAAGTCATTTTTTGCTCATTCTGAATGAAAAAATTTTATTTTGTGTTTTCCATAATCCTTGCCTTGTCGGACTAAGTAGAATATTCTTTTATTCGCAAAGAAAAGCGAAATTTCTGAATTTCCCTGCAATTCGTTAACATATTTCTGGATAAAATCAAGAGGGACTTGCTGATTGATTTCCGACAATTTTTTTAATAACTTGCCTTCGTCAACAACCAAATTAGCATATTTTCTGTCCAGCAACAATTCTTTTCAACCAT